GGATAACAATTGGACCACATTCTATGTCAACCCACCTTCTGTGCCACCATAACATAGCGACATCAGTCAAATACATAGTAATAGTATGCACCTGAGTCATTTCATCAGTCACATTGCCGGTGGGAAGGTACTGTTCCATTTGCCACATGAAATTGTCAAGCTCTTATGCGTTGAGGGTACTCGAATAGGGAGTTGGCTCCCTAATCTTAATGTGGGAGGGAGTATGTGCACATGAAGTGCTACCTGGATTAGCGATGACCCTCTTCAGAATTGCACATTCGGATTTGAGTTCCTCTAGTTGAGCTTGGATGTTGGAGGAGGCACATGCGGCGGCCTTCATTGAGGCCCATTTCACTCTCATTTCATCTAGTTGGGCCTGGAAGGCCATTGATGCGGAGATGGTTCTTCTCCAATTGCCCACTCTTTCTTCATCTCATCGAGCTGGGCCTGAAAAYTGTCAAGCCAGCCTTGGACCTACGAGTTGGAGGAGCTTGCTTCTTGTTGGTACGCAGTGCAACAAATTTCCTTGAGCATGCCATTGATTACGTCATGGACTTCGTCCACGACTCCACTCAGGCTACCTTCCATCTCGACTAGTGTGGTGTCCATGGCTTCCATGTTTTGATGCAACTTGTCTATCAAGTCTCGCATCTCACCTATGGTGGCTTCACAATGCAACATGCACAAGTCAATGGCTACATGCTTGTTGGAAGATTTCTCACGTTTATTGGGCTTCGGTGCCTTGTCCTTGCCGATGTCATCGATGGGCGCATCATCGACCTCATGGGATGTGGAGAGTCCATGCTCGATTTTCTCCACGATGTCCCTATTGTGCTTCATACTGTCACTCGCATCACGGGTAAATTGGCTTAAAAGGAGCTCCTGCTCTTATACCAGCTATCACAGGGGTAATCGTTGAGGCCCTGTGTGGCACTCGAATGGGGCGAGTAAGCTAACCAACAAAGCAAACACACACAAAAAGGCAACAAGATGGCACACGAATTAGCAAAAGGCTATTTATATTGCATTAATAAGTAGCAAGCACAAGCACATAGTTCAGTGTCGAGAGGATCTTGTGCTTAACCTTTACACGCTACTGATTCACTCGACTACCTACCTCATCTCAAAGAGTGCGTTAAACTTTTGGGGGAGTGACATAAAGATACATCAAAATGACATAAATCATATTAATGTAATTATAGAAATGCCATTAGAAATCCCCCCATACAAGAGTACATGCATAGCCTACTCATGACACACAGTTGGACACTAGAATAGCGGTTGTAGGCACGATGAATGGCACTTGATGGTGCGSAGAAGAGAACACTTGTGACATTCCTGCAGAATGAAAATTTTGGACTCCCCACATGATTCTATTAGACCGATTGAAATCCGGTTTAATTTTAAAACCACCACATCTATTCTATTTGACCGGTTGAAGTAGAGGCCTCTTCAAATATCACTTGGCGGCCGTTAAGACCGCCGGGTATAAACCACCAGCTTTGACAATTCCTCGCAAATAATTAAATTAGACACATTTATTATGTTTTTACTAATTAAATTAAGATAGTAATTAAATTTGATACACCATTGAAAATTATGGATACATTATGGTGATCTAGAATTGAAAGCCGCCTCTGGACAAAATCAACACTGGTTGTCGAAACAATTGCTCTAGCCGACAAAAGAGTCTTTTGGAAAATCAACACTGTAGCTGGAACTGAAAGCCTCCTTTGCATTTTACACTCGAGGATTAAAGAAAAAAACCATAATATCTTTTGGGTATTTATGTCTTGGAAATTCAGTAACACAAGCACCAAAGAGAGGAAGCCTGGTTTCTCAATTCTCAGGACTAATTAATAAGGCATGGATCGGGTCAGAAGTCGGGAGATAACAGAAGAAAAAGGCTATTTGCTACTCCTTCGCTTGCTACTGCCTCTTTCCGTGTGTTTTCTCATTTTTCTCTGTTTCCAGTGAGAAAGAGAAAGCTTTCTCTGAGCTCAGGGTCTATGGCAAGGCTGAAACCTGGAAAGCCTACAACCACTACTGCTCGAGGAAGTTCCCAACATCCCTCTAAGGGTAGTATTCCTGGCGATCATGCATAAATGAATCGGTCTATACAGTTAGTGGGGTTTTATTTTGAAATTTGATGAATAATGAAGGGCAAATTCAATATTTCATTTTTTTGTTAGTATTTAACGACGTGTCAATTGTCRAAAAACTTAAGGATACTTTAAGATAATATGTAAACAGTAAGGATATAATTTATCAATTTCGTGACAATAGGGGCAGTTTAAGAGATTTACCTTTTTTTTTTTTTAATTTTACTGTCGTGTTTGTTGATATTGGATTAAGAAGTGCTTTGACATATTGCATTTTGTGATCTTCCGTGGTTTGTAAGCTTTCTTTATCATGGTGATAAGGGCTGATCTATCTACTCGGGCACCGTAGCCATATTGGTTTATAGATCCTTATAAGGGTTGAAGTAGCCAATTCTTTGTTGAGATCTTCATTAACATCCAATATCACATTGCATACATCCTTCATTGGTCTGATGGTTGTGACATCTAAGATGTGAGTAATAGCGTTGGGCTCACATAAATTCGACAGATAATTTAGTCTAGAATTGTATCACTATAATACTTGAACTCCTGAAAACTATTAATTTATTCTAAAATCATTAGTCAACAATAAGTTATATATGAAATAACAAAAATGCCCTTCAAATGTCATCAAATTTTCATTTTCAACCAAGCATATTGAACAGTGTCTAAACATTAAAGGCAAGGCTTAAAAGCTTAGAGCATCCTTCTAAGGCTTGAAGGTAAAATTCTCGATCACTGCCTTAGATACATTTTGAACACTCCTACAAATCCTACATATATCTTAACACAATAAAATTAATGTTGAAATAACCATAAGTAATATATAAAATGCATATTTTAATAGTATATATGGAGAGATACATTATAGTCAATGTGGCGGCATACTTAGATATCATACAACTTTATTACTAACGCATCAATTAACACTCAAAACATATTATATAAAATTGTATCATACAACTTTATTTGTAGAAGACTACCGGGTTTTTTTTGTCTTAAATCAATTCAATTTTGATTTAGTGCTATCATACAATGAGGAATCATTCGTCTCCGCATACCCCAAAACTTGAATATTTGGAACCTTAGCCAAGCCAAGCTTAACATTTTCTGTATGAATGTGTCATTTGGCTTGCGAGTAAAGTCTCTCGGTGCTTTAGCCATGAATTTCCTTGTTGGGCATGAAGTGTTTTGAGCAGCCCAATCTAATGCACGACTCCTTTTGTCTTGGTTTTTTGTTAGTGAGAAATCTTGTTATCTATGGATCTGGGAAAGGTTAGTTTATGTCCTCCCATCCTCTATCCAGAGTAAATTTTGGGGTTGAAAAAAAATTATACTAGTAGTCAGTGGATCACACACTTCACTATTTTTTTAACTTCTTTTACAAGTCTCTTTTGTTGAGAGAGTACAGAGACTCTTGACATTCTACAAGACTTCACCTATTGAGTTCGTGAGCATCATCAATCCACAATTCATCTTTGGTTTTCAATTTTATGTGATGATATTTCTCTATTTATCTCTTGTAATCAACTTATTAATACCATAGAGAATGTCTTCATTTAATTTTGTTTTGACTATTTGATTCTCCATCTTATTTTGGTGGACTGTGAACCCTATTATTAACCTTTGACATCCAAAACTGTTCCACCCGGGTGCTTTGTCTGCATATCGAGATTGGTAAGAGTTTCAGACGATTATATTTATGCATTTCCAGCCTCACTCAAAAAAAAAAATAGCAATTTACCAACAGATGGTCCTTTAATACCATTCGAACTGTAGGGGAATCATGTGAAAAAAATGACTCGATATATAGCAATTTGCCAACGTTGGTTCCACAGGTTTCGATCAGATAGATGGAACATTTAAAACCAAAACAGAAAAACAGAAGAGAGAGAGAGAGATGGTCCTCTATTGTTGCTTTTCAACCTTGCACGAGCTGTTGGATGGTTGGAGAACAGACAGAAGAATCATTAAAGCAACGGGTTCCGATGGTTGAATAGATAGCTTCAGTGAGGTGCATACCATCCCAGAAGGCATGTCTGCCACCGTCGGAGCACGAAACTAAACCTGGAATGCAGGTCCAAGCTCCATTGTTCGCCGCAATGCAACATGGGTCTGTTGTATCTCCTAGCCCTGATAAAGAAAATCCACAGATGTTATGTAAATGCTTACATTTGCTGAGCAGTAGTTAGTTATCAGAGAATATATAGTAGGGATTATATATTCAAGGGTACGTAGAATTAGTTCGATATCAATGCTCACCATATTTTGAAGGATTTGTGATCATATCATGTCCAAGCTTCGAAAAATATCCCAGTGCAAAGGTGGAGCCTTGGAGCGAAGTTGTCAATTGTTTCAGCATTGCAGGAAGCCCATCATTGAAGACTGATACAACCTGATTTAGTTCTTCAACACATGGTCCTTCGTGTGGTACTAATCTTGTAACTATTGGCATGCACCCAATCGGAGCAATCTCGAACACTAGAAACTTCCTGGCCCCCAACTTGTAAAGAGTCTGTCCATTTATATATTTGTCAATAAATCAAAGGATAGATGCACCATATATATATATATATATGCTATTATTGCTCTTCTTGTTATTGCCATCAAGGTTCCAATATTTAACATTCATAAATCAATATGATCCTAAGATACCCATTTGAATTATCTTTTCATTGCACAGATTGCAGTGTAGTAAGACCCAAAATCGAACCGGCCGGATGGTCAGACCATGAACAGTGAATGGTGGTGGATATTTACCTCCAAGCGTTGAGAAAGTATGTCTTTGAGTAGTTGAGCAAATGCTTGAGGAGTGTACATTAAATTGGGTTTAGAAACATAAGACACAAGGTAGCCGCCGTAGTCATTGTTTCCAATATTGATAACAAAGATGGACTTGGAAAGGTAGTCTGAAAGCTCTTTGGAGCTGCCGAAGTGTGGTTGCAGCTCCATCTCTATAGTCTTTTGGAACAAGACGACCTGATCATCTAGGTTGAGGCACTTACCCTGCACAAAACCCATTAGTCCAAACTGGAGAAAACAAAAGAAACCGAGAGAGAAGCAGTTAAATATGTATCAAATGACTAGTAGTAGACATGATTCCTTACGAATTCGCTTCCAGTCAATGGGAGAATGCCGCATGATCCGGACGCATAATTCCGGCCAGTTATTGTACCAGACTTGAACAGGYTTATGGATGGAGGAGCGAATGGTAGCCCAAGTTGAGATGAACACAGCAGAAGAAAATTCTAAAACCCAGAAACAAATTAGTTTTGGGTTAATTTCAATGTTTTA